GTTCATGGATGCTCACATGGCATTTTATCTACTTATACCCGACGTCTTCAGTTGGACATGCGGCATTTCGCTTATCGTAACTTCTGACAGATGTCTATCACCGCCTCTGCTCTGTAACTCAAAGTATCATAACGGGAAGTATTGGTTTAAAATAAAAGCTATTTATCAATACCTCAACGTTCTAATTACACAAAATTGAAAATTAACGGAAACAAAAGTGTGCTTATTGCGGGTAATTCAGTTCGCACGTTTAAATTCAAAATGAATCCGAATTATAATATCAACACCTCCTACCACAGCCTGGCTTGACCGTTAGAATTCTCGAAGCAAAAGTGGCTAGCCGAAGCTCAAGCCGATCAGTTAGATTCAAACAATAGGGAAGCAAAACAAAGTGCGGGTCAGTCTATGCTGCCAATATTTCTCTCATCATAAATTCAATAACTCTGCGCTTGTTTACACTTTAATTAATTTGCATCCTGGTGGGTGCTCACTGAAGCAGAAGTGGAACTGCAGCCAAAATAATGAGATAATTACGTTAATTAACACAAAACTTTATAATTTCTGAATTAGTAGCACATCTTTCAGTTTTAGCAGTTAATTCCCTAGTTATACCTCTTTCAGACATTTGAGAGGCTCCAAGTTGGGGCTCTGAAATTATATACTGATTCAGATTTAAGAGTAACCCATTGGAAGTTACGAAGACAAGATCAATGTTTACTAGTACTTCGTCCTGAATTTAGACTCCCAGTAACTGAAAGGCTGACTGCACGGAATTTTATCTATGTGTAATATGAAGGCAAATTATTTTCTTATAGAAAGTCCTTTGAGGCATTTCGAGCGCTTACTTGCAATAAATTCCATTTACAGCCGTGAAAATATATTCCATTACAATATTTAACAAGATTTTTAATGGAATATATTTCCATAATTGCATTATCACAAATAAAGGCTGTTATGATGACTGAACCTTTATATACATTTGCAAATCACATTCCACAGTTAGCAACTTTCTTTATTCTTTAGCACAAATATAAATTTATCATTTGATTTATTTATCATTTAATCTATTTGTTATTTTTATTCTTTCAGCATGGTCACAGCAACGTTATTGCTTAAGTTTCCTAAATTTTAAAAAGTTAGAAATTTAATCAGCGTGAAATATATATAAATTTCTACAAATAAATAAAATCTTTTATGAATTGGAATGCGTTCATAGGTAAATATGCAATTAGAGTGCGTGACATAAGATTTCAAAAAGATATTTCGTGACAAACGCAGAAAATTAGGCAAAGCGAAACTAAAAACAAATAATTATTTATATTTTATGATAAAAACCACTCAGATTAAATTCTTTTATTCAATAACCAATTAATATGTAAATACGCAATACGAATTCGAATGTGTTATATAACAGGAGTGACCAAACGTCAGCAAAGGACACATCTTGGAATTCAGGTAATTTAGAGAGCCGCAATTAGATTTTCCAAAAGCCAAATTTCCGTCATTTTAGAAGTAGTGAAACAGGTTTCAAATGGAAAGAAGCATCTGCTTCTAAACAATCATTCAATGAGTGTTTGCCTTCAACGTATGATGATGCGTTTGTCTTCAACATATGTCAGCGTGAAGTTTTAAGGCGACTTTTCTCTAATTATAGCTTGATGTGTTAGAAAGTACTTTTTTTCAGTTTTTAAATAATCCGTTTATTCCGTGATACCTTTTTGTAGTTGCTGATATAGCACAGCTTTGTAATGCTAATGAAACTTCCGATTCTTCTAATATTGAAGCCACTGCGACTCAAATCGTTTTTCTACTATCTAAAAATTATCGTGCAATTCCCCTGCATTCTCGCTTCACTGCAATCAAGTCGTACATCTGTTATTCTCTTAATGTTATTACGGATTCTCGAAAGTTTCTAGAGGCAACATCGTCTTTTAAACTGTAACTATCAACAGATTTATTAGAAATACCCAAAATTTCTAAATGCCATAAATTTCACCTCAATTTGGATGTCGAATCGACTTTTAAATTATTTTTAACTTGTATCAAATTCTGTATGATAGCGAATGTTTCTGATGCAATATATGCATTTTCTGTTCCGCTCACAGACCACCCCAGTTTATTTTCTACCTCTGCTAATGATTTAGAAATTCCGCAGACTTTTCCTGTAAAGCAAATACAAGCATTCAATTCAGTCGCCATTCACAAAGCATCGACAAGCAAATCTAACTTTTTAAGATTTTCACGACAAAACTGAAAACTGTTTGATAGAGCCAGTATAATGTTTTTCGTTTTTCTTTATGTTTCTGAATAACATTATTAAATTTTTTAATTAACTAGAAATAAAATAATTACGTTTGGAATCTAATCTGCTTAAGTTTGCTAATAGCTTTTGTGAAAAGAAATGAAATAAATTAATTACTTTCTTTTGAGCAATGAGAAGTTTAAGCTTACCATACTCCATACATATAATTGTTTTGTTTGCATAACAGCCGCGCTACGGCCATCCCGTTTATATAAGATTTTGAAAAGACGATTGTTAGTGATAAACTGAGATCCCACTAAGTGAAGTCAAAATTAAATAATATTTCATACTAATTAAAATTCAAATTAAATTCTTTATTATTTAAGTGTTATTTTTAATTATATAAATATTATTAAATATTTAAGTCTTTCATATTTACCTTTAGCATAGCTTTTTTTGGCAATATACCTTCTTCAAAGGTTAAGTATTGCAAATAATGAGAGAGAAATACTGCCCCCCCCCTTTGGAATTCAACTAAGGAAGACCAGCTTTTCAAAACGGTATTTATCTATTAGAGTTCATCTAACTCCGAAATTTCCTTGGTAAAATTTTTAAAGGAGCATAAAATTTTGAAGGAAAAAAATGACTATACTAACCTAACACATAAATTACTTATTGCTTACGAATATGTTCAAAATAGTATATATTTTAACAAGTGAACTAGTTCAAAATTTAACAATCAAATTCACTCTTATCAGTTTCTTCTTTCTAAAGTTTTTATTAATTTAAAACTAAATTTTATTAATCAAGAATCTATTTAATGAACTATTATTAAGAAGTGACATTTTATTTTATTCTGAATAATTTATTATTATTAAAGTGCAAATATTTACTCATAATTCTACAGTATGCTGAAAAATAATGCACAGGCTTTACTTTTACCCCCTCGGTAAGGTTAGTAACTTCAGCTTATTTCTGTTTGGTTTACGTGATTTGTGTACATATCTTTAATTAAAATATTGTGACATTTAATCTTCTTGAATTAACGGAAAATTCAGTACAAATGACTACATTTTCTTCTGAAATCCTTGCTGAATGTTGTCCAGCTTTATCGTATTCTGCTCGTTATAGGTCTAGTATCATGAACTGTAATCCGGATAAAGATAAAGCAGTATCTTACATTAACCGCAGCTAAAAAAAATTTTCTTTCAATTCACTTCTAAACATCAGATATTTGAAACATTGTCTAATTTCAATAACTAAACTTTTTTTCTGTAAATAAATGTTTTTTCTCATTTTTTATTTCACTTACAAAACAGTTTTTTTCAATTTCTGCAAACCATCTTATATATTTATAAGTTCACATTAAGTACTTAAAATGTAGTAGAAAGCACTAAACAAATATTAGAAATTATTCATGTATAAACTATCTAATTTCAAGTTTCGAATTATTATTTGAGTTCCATTGATAATCATTAGTTTTAATCATTTATTGATAATCATTATTCTTTGATAAAATTTTGGTCAAAGAAAAACAAATCAATGCATTTCGAAATTTAATGTAATGGGCTACTTAAAACCGTTACTCACAAAAGCACACTTTAATTCAGACATTTAAAGGAAAGTTATGTCTTTTTACCAATGCTACAATGGCCTGCAAAACCTTACTCTTGAAATAAATCCCATCGATTCTTTTGATTTATAGACATATTTAACTATATTTTGATACTGCTGACCTTTATAATCACTAGTAAATATGGCAGCCAGCAAGAAATAATAAAACTATCATTATAATCAGTACAAATGCATTCGATTTATTCATTTTTAAGATATTTGCATTATTTTTTTAAGAATTTTTTTAAAAATTATTAAGTAATGAATTCGTAATATATGATTAAATGAATGATAATAATTTAAATTATTAAGTTATTATGTTCTGAAATTCGTCCGCCAAAGTTTACAAAACATGTTAAATGTTAATCTATAACATTAGCTTCAAGGGTAAAAAGACACAGTTTCAAAAATTCCAAATTTAAAACAGTAGATATTATTAATTTCCTTTACTGTGCTTGGGAGGTCTTAATTATATTCTGTTTTTACAATTATATTTAACAAATTTGAAAAAATTAACTAACGTTCGGTTTGCAATGATATTTACCTTTATAGTACGCCACCAGATGGCAGCACTACAAAAACGTGAAACTTGGAGACATTTTAATATATCAAAAATTAAATCATTTTCTCACTTAAAATACACCTGAACATATGAATTTATTGAATAGACGAATTTAAAAAATAGCTATTATTTTCTTTAAAACATCCACGATAATATTTTGGAAATTATTTCACTATTCAATACTTCATCTCGTTTAGGAGAGGTGATAAACAATTTATGTACTAACACTGATTTTAAAAATAATCTTTACTATTGCATAGACAGTTTCTTCAGACCCGTACCACCCTCTCGTTTAGGAGAGGTGATAAACAATTTATGTACTAACACTGATTTTAAAAATAATCTTTACTATTGCATAGACAGTTTCTTCAGACCCGTACCACCCTATCTTGTATTCCAGAATTTAAACTTCAAAATATAATTACATTATATTTCTCTTAAAAGAATAAATCAATGATTTAAACATAAACTTAGTGCAACTCCAAAATTACATAGCTGATAATGAAAATATTTTTTAGAACATCCTATATTACTGATGTATATAAAATTAATCATAAATAAAAGGAATAAGACAAGTAATGCTTAAATATATATATATATTTATTTATTAATTACCAAAATATGGTTTCAAATAACTATATTTTCTTATCAATGTTTTATCTATCAATGTATCTTGCAGATGAAAAACATATGAAAATGATGTTAACTTCTTTACCGAATTAAGAGATGAACTCAAATACATTAATCTCTGTACAAGTGATAAAGATAAGCACCATTAATTCAATCAGCCGTATACAAGTAGACCATTAATTTGGCCAGACTTACAAAAGTACACAAGATAAAGACTATTCAGACAACACAGAAAAAGCTTTATGAAGAATCATTTTTGAGCAAGATGAGCATTTCACTGTTTTTAGAACCATTAAATAGAATTATTTAATAATTTAAACCATAACACATGCAATAAAGTTAAAATTTTTACTGAATATTTCAAAGGCCTGATGAATGATAAATATGATATAAAAATTGATTCATTTTAAAAATTATGAAATTCTAAAAAGTGCAATGAATATTTTAAACAATTTAAAGAACAATAGAAAATTCATATTTGTTTACATTATAAATACCATAAACTTTTGATTTTAAACTTTAGGACTGTGCAAACAATGCACATAAACAACATAAAATATCTGAGTAAATAATACGAAATATAAAATACTAACTTCCTAATCAAGAGTAAATATCACTGTAATCACAAATAATAATCCACCATAAGGGGTTACACTAATGTAAAAAATAGTTTAAAAATTAGATATTAGTAAAAATTCTTTTTTAACAAATCATTTAACAATCGCACAGTTTTTTAGACAAACTGTTTGAAATTCACCATACAGTTTTGAAATCTTGATTACACATCTTCAATCATGATAAATAAAAAAAAATCAATATTAAAAATTTATACTTTAGCCTTGACATGCATTAGTATCTGCTTTGACTGCACAGTGTCAATAAAAATGAAAACAGTTTTCAATCACACAGAAAATAAATGTTCACTGATGGCTCATCTTCGCACTAGAAAACATGCCAGCAACAAGGCAAAGCTGCTTTTGATGAAGATAGTTATTTAAAAAAGAATCAGTAACTTAATACTAGGAAGATATTTCTTATTCAAAAAATGAGAGACATGAAGTTATCAGTTGTACAGTTCAGCATCTAAATATATATCAGTTCATTTCAAAAATCACTTGGTTTAATAAATTACCTGATTCTTGGAAGCAAGTGAGGCTTAATAAATATCTACTTAATAAAAGGAATTATTATAATATACAAATTAATTTAATACAGATGATGATGGTAGCAAAAACAGGTTTAACCTAAGGATTTAAACAATTTAGTCGAACGTCCGACTTGAAATAGAGAAGATACCTAATAACATCGTCTTTCTCGATGTACCTTAGTTTCTCAGCAGCTTGTCTATATATGACGGGAAAAGGTACGTAAGATAAAGAATTTTGATTTGAATATGCACTACGCAGTTTCTTCAAGGAAAACTTTGAATATTTATTCCGCTTTGATCGCGGCTTCTGAAGACACACCGACGTTGGATAGAAGATTCTTGAGCACGCTAAGTTCTTTGGACAGGAGTTCCACACGCTTTCTGAGCTTGTCGTTCTCGGATACCAGATCGCAGACTCTCTTCTCAGTGTCCTTGCACCGCTGCTTTGCCTTTTCGCGCGATTTTCGAACGGCAATGTTGTTTCTCTCTCTTCTCCTACGGTACTCGTCAGAACCCTTGTCAATCGGTTTCTTTGACTTTTTCTCCTCATTTCTGTAGCTGATATCTCGGGAATCTCCATACCCGGAACTGAGCGTAGCATCGGGTAACTGCGGAAGTCCGGCGAAAGTATATGCTACTCCCCGACCAGGGAATGTGTTGGACGGCACACGGGTCTCGATCCCTGCAGCCGGTTCTTGTTTCACACCCGCTTCGGAACCGTAGCGGTCGGAGCCAAAGCCGGCCGACTGTGGCATCGGGAATCCGAAATTTACGGCGGGAATGTTGGTTTCCGGAACGATGTTTTGTCGCTCGGAGTCGTCTGCTAGGATGTCAGCGAGCAAAGTCTCAGGAGGCACTTGATTGGATCCGTCAATGAAACTATGAAGGTCGAAAGATATTTCCGGAGTACTAAGATCCGGCAGTTCAGGTACCGTACTTGCGTCTAAAATCTTCAGTTTCGCACTCCTCTTCGGAACGTCGGTCGAAAAATCATACATGAGTGGGGACTCTAGGAATGGGTAACATGATGAATAATCCTTGAAATGAGCCGTCGTTGTGATTTGTGACGGGAACTTGATGCAAGAACTCAATCTGCCAGCAAACGAAACCCAACACAAACAGAAACTAAAAACACGCCTGTTCAAGTCGATTCTGGTTTCAAATATGAGCTACGCAATAGCTGCGGAGTAACAACCGTACCCTTGGTCGATAAAACTTTCCGTAAGTTTATAACCTTCCGCGGTAAAGAGTTCCCAACTGATAAATTTATCTACGCATTTTACTTCTGTTTTAATAATTATAAAAAACGGTAATAACACAAACCAAATGTTCTACGTTAATTAATTTGCTATAAAGAGAGACTGTTGAAATAACAAATAAGCGAGTTTATTTCACTCTAGGCGTATGAACATGAAGAAACAGTGATGTCATTTCTAAGCCTTCTCATTGGTTCTTAAGGATGACGTAATTTCCGAAGAACGAGCCGCAAATTTCTCTTGTCACTGATTGACGTCACTCATCTATCTAGATCGGAACAGGTTCTTAGAAAAGGAGAAAGAGAGAATACGGATACCCTCCCCCCTCCAAGGTTAGGCGCGTAGCTGCATGCAGTGCGAAAATATTATGAAGTTCATTGCTACAGTTGTCTCATATACTATGTTATTTTCATTTTCGCTGCGGAAAACTGACCATGTATAGAGAGATCAACAATAATTTTGTTAATTCGAATGAATCCGCACAGGAAATCAGGAAGTTTCCTGTTTCGAAAGTTAACTGAAAGACTATTCGTTAAATAACTGGTAGTTATAATTTTGAAAGCAAAATGCTCGATTTAATTTACAATTGCAGTTCCCCCTTACGAAAAAAATATGCGGCACTTAGATAATATGCCTGAGATATATACAGACACGCATCAAAGACGAAGACATATGCAGCTGAGGTGTGAAAGCTGTAACTAAAAAGGGCTTTCGGTACATTTTGTGCAGTACGATATAATACTTTTAATGCAGCTCTAAACGCAAACATAAATCTGTTTAATTTAAATAAATGTCATTCATATTACCAGTACTTTTAACGTATTGTATATAACTCAGAAAAAGAGAATTTTAACATTAAAAATAAAAGACATAGATGAACAGCTTTCAGACAAGGATGAGGTGAGCGATACACTCACATTAAGTAAATAATTAGCAGAGATGCTCATTATACCTTGGAGGAAAGTATAAAAATAAACAATACGTTATTATTAATATTATGGTTTAAATTTTCATAGAATGTTGGTTAACCGAAAGTCGGATAATCGAGATTGTAACTGAATTAAAAGACCAAATTACGATTATGTTAGGCTAGGTTAATCGATTAAGGCAAAGCAACTCAAGGGCTGTTTGCCGACAGGATGAGATGCTTTCGTGGAGGACTTTCTGTGGTAAACTGGCTAGTATCTACATTACACATTGAGAAAACCACGAAAATGCTCATACAGCCAGCCCTTTTTCGGGATTTAAACCCGGGTCGAAATAGCCAGTGTTAAGCGACTTGATACTCGGCCGCTGGTGACCTAAGGTCAGGTGAATTGCTAAGTAGTTAATTAACGACATTCGAGAAATTAGATTTATGAATGAGGAATAGAAATGAAATGACTTCATGAGCCAAAAAGTGTGTAGGAATTAGGTATGGGTGTTCGCAAATGCTAGAGATGGAAAAATACAGAAGTTTCACTTACATAATATTCGTGTATTCTCTTTAATTAAAAAATAATGGAATTAAAAGTGAAACGAAATGAAGTAGAAGTTCTAACTGTAAATGAAATCGGAGAGTGAACAGTTAAATAACACGCAAGTAATAAACCGTAACTACATGTGCATTTAAAGGATGTTTTTAAGATTTCCTAAGAAATTTGAACAACGTACTTCATATCTAAGCATCCCACTTTAAGCGTATCATGACTCTATTTTTTATTTTTTATTTAACTGTTGTTTTTTGTCTCGGCAGTGTGTTCTTACCTCCGTTTATTTTGTGAAGGCACATGTGGTTCTTTTCTCTTAAAGGGAAGTCAAGTGAACTTCGAGCTTATAGCCAAGATATCACCTGCTTACTTCCCACCTAAAGCTGAAATAAATATATGTAATCAAATATTCATTTCATCTTTCCGCGATGATTATTGTAACGCTGATTTAGTCGACATTTTTTTAACTCTTTATCTTCTGATACACAGACCGACAAGTGAAGTCCTGTAAACTGTCGGAACAATTGATTTTGCTCATTTAAATATTAATAATCCGTTAAAAATGAAGAGTCTTGTTAAAAGAGAATGAATGCTACTATTTTATTTTTCATCACGAACATCATACTTATTACGCATTTCCATTTTACCGTATGTTGCTTATTATGTATTTTGTTTTAGGTAAATGATTTTCATCAGTTCTTCCTGACTTACATCATTTGAAAAACTTGTTATTTGTCTGTCTGAGGTTCTCTAACATATATTAAAGGAAACGTGGACTCGATAAATGCATTTTTTCTCCTCCTTTTAGTAAGTTATAATATATATTAAGTTATAATTTATCGTTTTGCTTTCATTGAAATATGAAACACATTTGCACAATCCTTTTTTTTTTCTGGCTTTTACCTTTTTTATAATTAAAAAGTTGCATTGACAGTTTATAGCCATAAATTATTATCATGAAAGTAAATAAATATAAGGGCTGGTATACGGAGAAGCAGATTAAGATAGAAAACCAGAAATTTTAGCGTGAAAAAAAATTGAAATTCATTTGAAATAATTTGTTTCTAAGTCCTTTTGCTCAAAATTTTCGGAAACTCTTCTCAGCCAACCAAGGATTTTCCACTGCTGTTGGAAGGAAATTCATTGTTAGTTTGCGCAAAATTCAGTTTAGTTAAAATATTTAATCTACACCGTCAATAACTATAACAACATTAAGGAATAACTGTTTGCAAATACAAAAATTTAATTTTTTATTACCATTTATTATACATATATATAAATATTAGTTCATAGTAGTACAAACTCTAAAAATAAAAATGAAAAATGAAAATGCAAAAGATGTGCAAAAAATTTGTTTTATTTGTTTTAGCAAGTGTTTCGAAGGCGTGTAGGGAAAATCCTAGTACATTTGATATTCGAGTTTTCGGTTTTATATAAATTTTAGTGTCTTAAATGAAAATTTAGTAGACTCATTTTTCGGTTTTTGATCTCAATTGAACTAGGTGAACGAAACACGTTTTCGAAACATATTAATCATTTTTATGAAGCTTTAATTCATTTTTCTCTGATGAATTCTGAATTGGAGTATCAGTAAAAGGAGATTAATTTTTATTATTTTTTATTTTGTATTTTTTACCTTTTGTATTTTGTATTTTGCATTTTCATTTTTCCTTTTTATTTTTAGAGTTTGTACTACTGTGAGCTCTTTTTTTTTAAATTTTGATATGTTTGGATATAGTGTTAAACCTCTTATACACGATTGCTATTATTAATATTGTTGAGGAATAACCTTGTTTTGACTCTAATTTACTTTTAGCTTCTTTAAGTCTATTTTATTTCAATCCTGCAGGTATGCTTTTAATTTTATATTATTAAAGATATAAGAGATAAAAGATAAAAAATAGACAGAAAAAGATAAAAAATATGTAAACCAAAATTAACCTCGTAGTTCTCTCTCTCTATTCGAAAAATCTTAATTTTTCTGGACTGCGTCATTTCTAGATCAATCCATTTCGCAAGGCTAGCGTGACGTTGATGACGTGGCTAACTCTGAACCTGAATTCAAAACTTTGAGAACTGAAACCTTTCTAATCTATCCCAAAACCTTCTTTTGGTGAGTCTCTATATTGAATAACTGAACACTTTTAGCTTCAGCTCTCTTGCAGTCAAGATGCTACTTCGATCTGTTTGCTTTGTAGTGCTGCCGTTATCTAAAATGTGATACTCTTAATATAAAATTGTGTGGTGCGTATTGCGCCCATGATCATGTGTGATGAAAGAGATATTTCTGTTAATTAATTTCTATTCAACAATAAAAGTAATATTCAACTCGGCCATATCTGTCTACAAGTCTTTCCTTCACGTGTCATCTTTCTAACTATGCAGTAAAGTCTCCCCAGGATATAACGCAGAGAACTATCGTCAGTCTGTTGCAGCTTACTCCAAGACATCGTTATATATATATGAACATTAAAAAGTGCATTTTTGTTAATAGATAGTTAGTTCTTTTAATGTTTAAATAGCTGAACACTGGTAGTTCGACTGATCTTCTATTCCAGGCAAACGGGCTGTCTGCATGAGCGTTTTCGTGATTTTCCGTATGTGCAAAAATGGATACGAAACAGTTTCCCTCAGAAAGTCCTCCAAGAAGTCATCCCACCACATAGACAGCTAGTTCTCGTTCACTTCCCCACAGACAAATAAATCAAACCAAAGCTTCGGTAGTTAGCAACGATATGAGAGGAAAGAAAAATTCTAGAGTAACTCCTCATAATGATTTAGAATTCTGAATGCCGTAATAAGGAAGTCCGCATGCTTTCATGGTGTAACTGAAAGCACGCGAAAGCGGGAGGTTCAGATTTCGAATCCCCGGCGAGGGAACTGCTCATTTTTCACGTCTCCTGATCTAATGACGCTACACTTTAATTGACTGTTGTGTTTTTTAAAAGCTAAAGTTTGTAATTATCTGAGCAACTTTCCACCATAAGCAGTTTTTTTTTATTCCTTTTTTTCGATCTGAAAATGTTATTGAATAAAGGCAAGAGGATGATTAAATTATAAGGTACTTCTCCCGCCTTCTTGGCATGCCTTCGTGGTGTGGTGGTGTGCACGCTGGGCGCGTATTACAGAGGTCCGCGGTTCGATTCCCGGCGAAGGCGTTGCTAATTTTTCTATCTCATTAGCTTTAAAAATAACCTAATGTCTCTACAGTGGCGCCCAAACAAAAAGGGCGGTGGATGATGAATCTCCACACCCAGGATTTAGTGACTGGCTGATTAAATTAAAACAAACCCACGAATTTATTGCGGCAAGGAGTTCAAGAATTCGTTTGTCATTGGCATGACATCTTGAGTACTATGCAGGCGAGAATACAAACTTTGTCCACTTCCGTTTCAGTTCTGAAGGACAACACTTTGGGGTGGGGGGGTGGAGTCCGATAGTATCCTATCCCTCATCCCCTGCACAAGCTACTGGAGAGGACTTTCAGCTAGCCGTATATTTTAAAAGTTCCCCATGCCGC